ATTTCGTCATGAACTTCAGTTTTCGTTTCCTTGTCATGGTCCTTTTGGCTCGGTCTCGACAGGAGCTGCAGAGTGTAAAAATCCGGTACGACTAAGAATGTGTTTCGGTCGGAATGAATATGAAATGTCCCCTAATTGTAGGTTATGGTCCTCTCGAGAATTCCTGCACAGTGTGCCTTATATGTTAAGAGGACCCTACTGAAACAGGTGGATAAGTTCGAGTACTATGGGATCTGATTTTCGAGTGCTGGACGATACGGAAACGAGATCGATGACCGCATCTCCAGGGTTCCCGCCGTTTTGCTGGAACTCGGTCGAATTGTGGTTGCAAATCTGAAATTTCCCATGAGGCAAAACTTTCAGCTTTTAGGAGCGTTTGCTTACCCATCCTCACTTATGGCCATAAACCATCAACCGGGGTACCGCAAGTAAGGCCGTGCCATGTGCCGTGAGAAATGAGAGTTGGTAGCAACGAAAAAAACTAAACGTATTTTAACACGGCCGGGGGACTCCGATCTTCCTTACGCCAGGATCTACGTGGGTCACTCCGGAAGTTCTTAGACTTTGCTCCTATACGTGAATATTAAAAGTCAATTTGTTTATTTGTTAGATGTACTTCTTTTATGCAGCTTGCGTGAGTTTTGTTTGTTTCTGCTGACATTCAGTGATAAGCGCAATGAGAGGAAGCAAGTAGTGACACTAGGTGAGAAACGATTTTTTGCCTTTTACTGATTCATCACTTCTGTGCCTCCTTTTAGAACTGCGTGAAAGCCTCCTCACCTGAATATTGCCTATGTGAAATGCCTAGGGATTTTTTGAGGAACAAGCCCCTTTCATATTCAAAGGTGTTCAACTGGAACCACCTCTTCAATTTAGGGAATGATGCACTTGATGGTGTATAGATGTACCAGAGAATGTATCAATTCCTTTTTTAAAAAAAGTTACTAACTTGCTCCGAAAGCGTATGAAAATATTCCGAATCCACAACATAGCTTCCCACGTGCAGTGGCGTAGCGTGGTTGGCATGGACCCTGGTGCAAGGAATGAAACAGGGCCTGCTGTCCACTTTCTTACTATTGAATTATGTGGGAGTCTTTTTTTTTTTGCTGTTAGTTTTCTCCGGCAGCATATGAATCGTCGTCGGTAGCTGAAGTCAGTGTGGAAAGCAGTGGCGGATACGGAAAATGTTCTTAGGATGTTTCCTAGTTCCAAGCCCCCCCCACCCCTCCTCACCTACCACCAGCCTCCGCCCTATCGCCTTATTCATTTTTCGTCTGGGGTAAAAACCCTGAATATCCATTTCACAGGAGCTAATAAACATTAATTTGTGTGCTTTCTAAATTAAAAAAAAATAGACTGCGAACTTGGCCAGAGGAAGGGCAGTCGCCACCCCTCCTCCTCTGCCTTCCTCTTCGTAGCTCGGCGTCTGGGCCCCTCTGGCCCGTGGGCCCCGGTGCAGTCGCACCGCCTGCACATTCTATAGCTACGCAACTGCCCACGCTAAGTATTGCATGCACTCACGTGAAATATCAATTCCAAATTCGGAGCACTCTCCGTCGAGGATGGGGACAACAGGGGTGTTTCAATACTTCCTGATATCTGTATCTTGGAAGTACAGGTCGGTACATTGGTGAAAGAGAGTACGGTATCTAGCTTCAGCGGAGAATCTCGCAGTCAGTAATTTTCAAAATTAGCTCGTTTCACCAAGCCAGGAAATTCTTGGAATCATCGGAATAAAGCCTGTTTGGCTATATCCCTCCACTACCCTCCTTTCTTGAGTGGGCCTTAATGTCAACCGATGTGACGTAAAGTACTGCATTTTTACATTTAATTGTAAAAGTTTGGGAATTCGTTCATCAGTTCCCCAAGATTCTACACATGAGTTTCCACGACTTGGTATTGACCAAATACCGAATATTGGAAATATCTTCCTGCTGGGGGAAAAAGAAACTTGAGTAGTCCTCTAATGGTGGTGTCCATCCAACATCTACAAGGGGGACAATAGCAACACTGAGGAGTCACTGAAGGAAGAATCTTAGGGAAGAGAGTATAGCAAACTGCAAATTTCGGTCTCTTTCAATAAATGAGGAACATCGATCCGTTTGGGCGATGACTTTTTTATTTTTAATTAACAATGTTACCAACTTCATATCTTTACTTTATTGAAAACACTTCCCCCAATACCAACACACTGCTGCCTCCTGAAGTGCTCAAATATACTCAGAAATATGGGGTGTAGCAAGTCAGTATCCCCAAACAGTGGCGTAGCGTCAGGGGGCAGGGGGGGGGGGGGGCACGTGTACAAGAAAAGAAGGAAAAGACCAAGAAATGCATGATAACAGTATCCCAGATATCCTGTGCCCCCTACACTTTCCATCCACGATTATGTCCTTATGTCCTCAAAATTAGAAACTATGTGATGAAAAATAAGTTCAGATTCACTTGATAGAAATGGCCATACCTACAGCAGCGCAATAGACACTTAATTTAAAGAATGATTTAAGTATCCATCTGTCGCAATAATTTTTTTTTAATTGGAGCAGGAAGGTAAATTGAGGGAATATGACCCCCCCCCCAACAAAATTAAAATTGCTTTCAATGACCTGTAAAGGTCTAATGTGGCTTCGCCAATATTCTGAGAATACTCCATGATGGCTCCTTTCTTCAATCCCAGCAAGAAACATGCCAAAAAGAGGGGATATGATAATTTGGATCCTCTCCACATTGGTTCCAAGAGGCCATATTGTTGGGGAAATACAGCCAGGCAAAAGAGGATTAGAGTCACTTTAAAAAAAGCAAAAAGTTTTTTTCCTTTTTATATGTTTGAAAAAATACTGGTACATACTATTTGGTGTACCTGGAAAACAACAAACAAAGCTGAGCAGTTGAAAATACAATATTAATTGAATTGTGGACAAACAAAGAATTCTGCATCACTTTGAACAATGCATGCCTCTTGGAACCATGATCTCAAGTAGCAATGGGGGGATCTAGATGGACATACACTTTGTGTGCAAACTAAGAGGTCCTATAGCGCAAGGTATGGACAGAAAGGTTTAAAAAAATCAGAAGCATTTCCATTCTGAGGGATATTCACCTGCCCTCAAAAGATAGAAAAAGAGTCAAATCTGGTGAAAGAGGAGCCCATGCCAAAGTGACCTTGGTGACCTCAGGAGTTTTCTAAAACTGTTACATTTTAACTTCAATTGATTTTTTCCAGTCATGTTTTATCTTGCTCAGGTTTACTTGAACACCTCAATAGGGATGTGAGGGTAAGAAGTCAATTGCTTGTAGAAAAACATTGCCAAGTCAATACAGGAACAAAAACACATGACCTTCTGATGGGTATCTATGATCACACCTTCTTACATACAGGGTGACCGGAAAGTTCGGAGACTTGTAAAATTTTTAAGATTTTTTTCAAGCGTGAGGCTTCCATTTCTTCCACGAGTCTAGCTCTAGGCTTAATCTTTTTCCCCCCCTTAGGGAAGAGAGTATAGCAAACTGCAAATTTCGGTCTCTTTCAATAAATGAGGAACATCGATCCGTTTGGGCGATGACTTTTAAAAAATTTGGACAGCCTCAAGTCAACTTTGCTGAAAGCATGAGACAAAATCCCTGTGAAACAGCTACGAGAAACTGTGGACAATTTTCCAAAACGCCTCAGAAAAGTTATTGCTGCCAATGGGGGCTATTTCGAAGATGTTTAACTCATTTTGAAGGTCTTCTTATGTTCTTTCTTATGAAATTAAGAAACATTTATTGTTCTTTATGGCATCGGGATATTGGTATTTTTGAGTGTCTCCGAACTTTCCGGTCACCCTGTATGTGTGTGTGAGCTCCTTTCTTGGTCAGGTTGACTTTGGGATTTGGGTGTTTCTTCTGTTGTTTCTGAATGTACTGGGTTTCCATTGATACATCTACAGTGAAAAGTTGCCCTCAGGTGTTAATCATCAGCTCTTGTAAACAAATCTGAGATCTCACCTTGTGCATCAGTCAACTGATAAGAAAAATATAGGAAATACCTAAGTCACCATGACATAATCACCAACACCCACATAAAGCACCAAAAAAGGGGCAACATCAGTGTCCCAAATGGAGGTCACAAACACCAATAGTTTCTCAGTTGGTCTCCAAGTTCAGAGTGACTCCCAGCCAACATTGAGTTTTGGTGCAAGCTTGCCAGTTCAAGATGATGAGTCTCATCCTTGTCCTTTTACCACTTAGAACCCTTACAGTCTTACAACTTTATTGACTAGTTTTTCTTAATTCATACAGTGAATTAATCACTAAAAATCATCCATTTGTTTACAGCATGCACAAGTCTCAACAATAAAGTGTATATTGGGACATCACCTCATTTGGTTCTTACTTAGTACATAAAGGTTCTTTTCATGCCTCCTGGCCAATTAGTTTTAGTTTTCTCATGCTTAGTGGAAACCTTTGTTGGGCTATCAAAGAATAAAGGATTCTATGAAAGGATCATCTCTGTCTTTTTGGTTTTCTCTTGGTTCTAATGCAGAAGTATTTCCAAGTACATCAGACTATCCAGTATGCCTCAAGAGTAAGGATTTGATGGACTGAAAACTTCTGTGAGTCTGCCTCTGATATTCCATGGTATCATGCAAGTGCTACTTGAACCCTGAAGGTTGTAATCTATTTTTTTTCCCTTTCAATAGGGTGTTGAATGTGTGATGAGTCAGAATGAGGTTGAGGAGGTGAAAATTATCCTGCTATGAGATGAAGAAAGAAATAGCTTAAAGCAGAGAGTGAAAATGGACAGTTTCAAGGAAGCTTCTCTTGATGCCTGGCATCAAGGACATGTACAGTTAGTTAAAATTCTGTATGCATGCATGCTCAACCAGGAATTTATTCACTTAATATGGTTCAAAGTCAACCAAGCAACTGGATAAACATCTTACATAAAAAAAAACGCACTTTGAAAATGACCCTGAAAATACTCTGAATCTTTAGAGATGAAGTGAAGAAGGGGAATTGTCTCATACAGGGCACAACAAATACTCTTTGAGCTTCTCTGGAAGAGGGAGCTTGTAGACTGCTGCATACTTCACTCGTTGAAGAATCACATCTCTGCAAGCATTCTGAAGTGAAGGAACTACAAGAACAGAAATGAGAAGTAAGGTTACTTCTCTGGAAATGGAACTAGTCACTGAAGTTACATTTCAAGTTCCTTTTTAACCCCTTCAGCAGTCTATTTTCCCCCCTAAATCTGCTATAAATTCTCCTGTTGCTTGTAGCTACACACACAGAGGCATGATAGGCATCTTTATTCTTGGTTTTTCCTCTCTGTGTATTTCATTGTTCATTGCCCCAAGTTTGTCAAAAGTGCTTTGCCCAAGCTTGGCTTGGGCAGGATGCCCATGAAGTTAAGAGTCAGTTTACATGCCGTACTTAATTTTAGGCTCTTGACGTCCGATTAACATTGACTACACTCACTATGCAAAAGAAGCAAGTCAGGACAGACTTAACAGCAAAACTTTTTTTTCAACAAAATGGGAAATTATTAATAGATCCCAGGGGTAAAATGTAACTCATTACCCTTCAAGTTTTTTGAAAATGTGATAATTTACTGCACTGCATATATTTGCTAAGTGACTGCCCATAGTTAGTTAGACCTCATCGCCAAAGGCAGGCTATGAGATGCAAATCTTTGATATTTATTTTGTACTGTCAATGGATATGGTAGAGTTGCTCACAGTGGAGAAATAAACAGAAGTAGGGTAAAGGCATCAGTTCATGGACAGGTGCTTATTGGTGGTGGATTCAACATAGTCTTCCATCTTGGAATATTTACACAAGAGATTTAAGCAGAAAATGCTGGAATCAGTCTAAATGAGTAGTCAAGGATATTAATTTCCTGCATAGGTTTCATAGGATTGCAGAAAACATTAAATTGTCTATGAATAGGCACCCATGTAAACATTGGTGCATTTGACCTAATTACTTGAAAAAGTAGATATCTTTGGATACGTTCATTTTTCCCAAATTGCTTTTTTTGGTGATCTGTATACTTCATATGCTGCAAGGAAGAAATACCAATACTGAAATTCTTAGTAGATCAAACAATTTTTTTAAGGCACATTCTTCATATAGTAAGTTGTTCAGTCAGAAAAGGGTTTTTGCCTCATGGAATACATGAGCTCAGAGAGGTTATTAGATTCCACTTTCTCCCAAGTACTCTTGATTTTCTAAGGAAGTAGATCTTTTTTCTTGAATCTCTATGAAGTTAGGCATAAACATTCTAATCTCTTGAGAGATAGTAAATTGGATGCACTTGTTCACTCCATACATTTTTGGGCTATGTAATCATTGCCATCATCATTTTAAGGTATACTCTCCATTTATTCTGTATTACTCTACTTTGCTCAAAGAAAAAGGTCAATATCCAACAAAATTCTGAAGATATCCCTAAGATAAGGACTCTTCCTGTTTTATTCCATGGTTATCTCAATTTTTTTTATTGATCAAGTAGGTCTAATTTATTTTTGGCAGTAAAATGATGCAATTTACATCTAAAAGTCTTCATCAGACTTGCAATGGTTTGAGTATCTTGGAAAGGTATCTGACCTGAAAAATAACCCTTTTTGCACCACTACACAGCAATTCAGAAGTTAAAAGCTGGTCAAAAGTAAAAAAAATGAAGTTACAATAAATATGAAAGTTACTTATTTTTTAGAACGAAGGATATCCAAATACCACTAAAACATCTAAATTTCTGAGTTTTCCCCTTTTCAAATGAGGCAGTAATTGCTCAAGTTTGGAAACTTCATAACTAGTGCATTTGTGCAGTTGTCAGTTTCCAGGCAATTTAAAAAAAAATAAATAAAATGACCACTTCATAATGTGAGGTTAAAAGTGACTCTAAACAAAGAGGGCTTATTTTTCTATTTGTTTTTTTTTTGTACTGTGAAATAGTTTTGCTTGTAAATTGTGCAATGGTAAAACCTAATTCAAGTAAATTAATTTTATTTTGCAGATGGAGAAACATTTTTACTTGCAGTTTTTGTGTGAAGAGATGCCAGGGACTTCTTATCTTAAGACAATTCTCACATATGCATATGAGATACAAGGAAAATATGACTAACCAGAATGGATGTGCAAAACCCGAACTTGTTTGGTTGTTCCATACACATCAACTACACCAAAAAGAGGGGCATCTCTGTAAGGAATGCCATCTTCAAGGACTCCTTGATCAGCACCATTCACAACAATATGCATTTCTGCAAATTCTTCACTGGAAGGGATGTAAAAAACACCAATTCGACTACCCACATCTGTGGGCAACACACTCTGTGATACAGTTGGGACTAGAAGATGCCTTGGAAAGCTTTTTAATGGCAAGAAGTCTTTTGGTGACCCTGGATGGTGATATGGACGAATATCCAAGTTCCCAATATGGGAATTGGACACTGCCACTATCCAGGAGTGACCCATGAGACCAAGTTCTGAGAGAGAATCCTGTGGGAGGGCAAATCCTGTGCTGGGGTCCAACTGGGTGAGACCAAGCCGCAGATGTCCACTCCATCCTCTCTCTGTGCCCTCAATCTCAACCAAAAAGATTTCTCCCGGATAAAGAGCACGATGGGAGAAGGTAACTGCCTCCGCAAAACTGGTCTTTCTGTATGCCATGGTCCTTTTGTCACAAAGGATGAGATTCCGTCCATGATGGGGATGAAAGCGAAGCAGCGATCTCTCATCAGAGGTGTTGAGTTCACTATCACTTTCACAGTCATAAGAGCACATGCTGTTAGGTAGATTTCTTGGCTTCAAAGAAGCAACATACCTGAGAATTCCCAGCCTTGGAGAAATGGACTTCTTCCATATCACACAAAAAGTGCTAGTGAAACCTGCTAATAGAACATGAAGCATTACATTCTTGAGACAAAAGAGATGGATACTTTGGGTATATACCACTCTATAGGCTCCTTGGAGATGAAAGTGATTAACCTTCACTGGGCTGAGAGGTCACTTTTGGAACCCAAGCAAAACTAAGACTGAAATGCCAAGATCTACATTAAAAATCTGCAAAGCAAATAAAATCAATTCAAGTTTTTATTTCTGACACATGGAATTTTGGAATTGGAAATTTAACTGAAGAGTACAAGTCATGACAAACTTGAAATTTGCAAGAAGTCTGAAAATGACCCTACATTGAAGTAAAATGTGATTGTCCTACTAGGAGAGCTCATAAAGACAAGATAGATGTAACATTTTATCAGACCCTTAGCACATGGTGACACTACAGTGTCTTACTATCATTCTTGTAAAGGTACATTAACACAGAGATATCTAAATGGCATCAGTATATCTACAGGGTGAGTCAAAAGTCACTGAACGACTTTGAACAGTAATAACTTGGCAAGGAAGACATTCACTTGCAAACAGTTCTTTGCATAGGAAAGAGTATGCAGTAATTAACAAATATGCAACTTTGAAAAAAATATCATTAATTTATTTGGCTTAAAAATGAATAATTACTGACCATGACATTGAGCATCATCAAGTTTGATCACATGAGCTGCCATCAAAAGGCAACTCCAGCAATCTTCACAGTGATGTGTTGTTCTAGTTCATGCATGAATTTTTGGCATATACCTAGTCTTTAAATGAAACCCCACAGCCAGAAATTGAGTGGAGTCAGGTCTAGCGACATGGGAGGTCACTCAGCAGGCCTGACCAGGCCTATCCACCTGTCTTCAAAGCGAAACGATGCTTCGCTATGGAAAGATTTCCTTCACAAATAGAGAAGACATAAACGATGGCAACACGTTCCTCCAAAGAAAGTTCATCGAGATTATCAGAAAACCATTTTGGCACAGCAAAAATTAACAGAAAATAATAGGGCATCTGTTGTACCCTAAATATCACTTTTATGTTGAAAAATGTTGCTTTTTGTTTTTCGCATGCTCATCCAATTTCTTACTTGTAATTCATGCAAACATCCATGTTGTTTCCTCAACTGATGCATGCTCTTTCAAAAAAAGTTTCAAATTCCTTCCTTGTCGAGTTATAGCTGTTCAGTCATCCAGTGACTTTTGACTCACCCTGTACTTATTCCAGTCAAATGTAGCTCAATTTCAATTAGAAAAATTATGAATGAAAACTGATGAGGCAAGTAAAACTATAAGTTCTACCTGAGATCAGGAGTTTCTTCTTTCTGGGAAATTATCAGGACCTGTACCAATTAAACGTTAATCCATCATCTCATCAAAGAGTGAAACCTTGGTGTGACCTCATTGCCTCATTACCAGGTGAGGTAAACAGCCTGAAGTGTCCTGAATGCTAATATTTTTATGACAGCAGCATTTGGCCAGCAATTACAGTTAGGGAGTCAAGGCATTCCTTTTTGGAAAGATTATATGCACATAAGACATCATGGCACCAATTTCCAATGCTTGCAGTGCTCAACTTGGTTCTCCACTTGTATTTTGATGGATTCCTCACCTGGCATCTTCCTATTATCTCTGAATCAATCTCATACATTAAGTACTTCATCATTATTATACTTAGAAATTTGAGAAATTTCATTTACTCCAACAACTGTGCATTTTTGTACACACCACCAAAATTTGTCTGTTGAAGAGCACAGTAATGTTTACTATTGTTTTCTGAAGCAAAAAAGTGTTACTAAACTCTTCATGCAATTCTATTAATTCATATATTTTATTAATTTAAATAGCAAATGCTAGGTTCCTACATGGAACACTATTCAATAATTGCACAGGCAACTTAAGAATAAAGAAAGTGTTATAAATGCAAAACAACAATCAACAATGATATTGTGAAGAAGTATGGCTCAAAAAGCAAATGAGGTGGGGGGGGGGGGAGCCTAGAATTTGTTTTTAAAAGGCACAGAATTTCCTTCAGTTTCAGTGACATTTCTGATTTCAGTGATGAAGCACACCATTTGATATTCTTCAACAGACGACTGTTCTTGCTGTATCAAATTACATGGTTGTTGAATAGCCCATCATTTCACTAAGATCAGGCAGAACCAGGCAAAAAACTTTCCAAGCAATGCTCTCTCAAAAAATGCTAATGACAACTACAAAAGCAATCAATTGATTGTATAAATACAAAAGTGATATTTACTATTTTGTACACCACACAGTACATATGTCTATCAATACAGATCATGGTAAGAGAAGTCAGATTATTTGCTAAAAAAAAAAGCCTAAAAAACTAAGACAGGTGTCTTTATATGATGCAGATTTTGATAAACTAAGTTGCTGGCCTTTAGTTCCCAACACCTCTAAGTCATCATTAGCAACAACTGTCAAGTCCTAGGAGAGAAAGGTAGGCTTGGACAACCAATATCTTTCAAGTGAGGTCTTTCTCCAGCTCTCTGCTCTACCCTTTCCTCCTTCCAACCCGTTGGCTTTGACTGGGAGGTAACCAAGCGTCCTCATGGATAGATAGATATATATATATATATATGTCAGAGGGAGCTAACAGATACTCCCGAAATGAGTGACCCCCACATTACAACATCTGATCTGCAGAAGGCACTCAAACAAACAGCAAACTGGAAGAGCCCCGGGCATGACCGTCTTCCAAACTTCTGGCTGAAGCAATTAACATCACTACATGAACAACTCACCAGAGAAATGCAGAAAGTAGTGACGAACCCCTCAGAGATGCCAGATTGGCTCACGGCAGGAGTCACCTACCTACTGCTGAAAAACGTTGAGACCCAACTACCAAATAATTACAGGCCTATCACCTGCCTGCCAACCATCTACAAAGTGCTGTCTTCCATCCTAGCAGCACGAATCGAACAGGGAGACACGCTATCTCCTCTACTCTTCTGTCTGGCTCTCAACCCTCTCAGTACTGAGCTAGCTCAGACTGACTGTGGTTATTACGTAGGAAAGGGGAAGAATGCAGACCATCGCATGAACTACCTTCTCTACATGGATGACCTGAAACTCTACACCTCCAACAAGAAACAACTCGAAATCCTTCTCAATGTCGTCAGCATCTTCTTGAAAGACATCTGCTTGAAGTTCGGACTCGACAAGTGCATGAAGCTCTCTATCCACCGCGGAGTCCTCACCCCTATAGGAGATATCACCACCACCAATGATGAACAACTCTGAGAGCTTACAGCCCCTGACACCTATAAGTACCTCAGTGTGGAAGAGAACTCTTCTGTCGCTGTCAAGTGCACGAAGCAAAGACTGACGACAGAATACAAACAGTGAGTCCGCCTTGTACTAAAGACCAAGCTATCTGGCAAAAAATATATATCTGCCCTCAACAGCCTTGCCACCCCTGTCCTCAACTACAGCTTCGGAGTTATCAATTGGTCACCTACGGAACTCCAAGCTATCGATCAGGGGACCAGAAAACTCCTAACCAAGCATCACACCCACCATCCGAAGGCTGCTGTTGAAAGACTCTACCTTTCAAGATGCAAGGGAGGGAGGGGACTGATCGAACTCGAGTCCCTCTATAAGCGGACAATATGCAAAGTCACCAGATATATCGAAAGGAAGCAGGGAAGACTCATTTCCATCCTGAGAGAGTGAGAGGCCTTGAAGAAGTCTCACTCCATCCAGGAAGATGCCACCCGCTTCCGAAACGCACTCCATCTCCATGACGACTGCAGCACGACAAATGCGAAGACGGCAGACCAAGGACAAAGAGAAGCATGATGGAAGGAGAAACCGCTTCATGGCCAGCATCCCAAGATCATGGATAAACCATCAATTGACTTGAACATCAGCTATAACTGGCTGAAGAAGGGACTGTTGAATGCCGAGACAGAGAGCAACATCCTAGCCATTCAGGACCAATGCATTAGAACTTGTAACTATGAGAAGCACGTCCTGAAGCTGGATGTGGAAGACCGCTGCAGATGTTGTCATGGGCCACCCGAAACGGTTCACCACCTCCTTAGTGCCTGCCCCGAACTAGCCCCGAGGGAGTACTTGTATAGGCACGACCAGGTGTGCAAATATGTGCACTGGTGTGTCTCCAAGCAAGCTGGCCTGGAAGTCCCAGAGAAGTGGTACGAACACCAGCCAGAGTCTGTTGTGGAGAACTCCTCCACCAAGATACTGTGGGACATGCCTATAATTACAGACCGCACTATAGGCTGCAATAGGCAGGACCTCACGATCTATAAGAAGAAGACTGCCCTCCTTGTACATGTGAGCATATATATATATATATAAACATAGCATGCTTTTATTTATACTTAACTTTGCATTAAAATGTACTCTTGAACATGGGTTGCTTTAGAGGGATTGTTGCCCCTCAACTGCCCCTGGAGACCAGAGCAGTGACCCATATCATATCATTGACATATATCAAGCTGGAACACCCATACATCCATGCATTCTTCTGTTCATACACCATCCATCAACAGTGTGGCCCCCAAAAAGAAGCCCCTATCTGTACCGGGCAAAAAGTTCAGGCTAGAAATATTACTGGTTTTATCCGGTTTGTGATGGACTTTTCCAGCAAGTGGATTGCATGCAGGAAACATAGCTAGTTCCAATCAGGAATTAGAAGGTGGGCATTTTCCAACAGGAAATGTAGAAATCTAGCAGAATACAGCATGGAATTCAGCTGGAAATGGCATACCAATTTACGACTAGGTCTGGTTTAAAATGCTGCAGTTCCTGCTGGAAGTGGCACACATTTACAAATGGAAAGCTTGCTGCTCCAGCCAGAACTTTTTGCTGGGTAGATATGATTATAATCTATAGCAGTGGCACCTATGATGCAAAAGCATTGTTTTGAATGAAATAAGACTTCTCCTTTTTCCTTAATATAGACATCCAAAGTGAATATAGTCTTGGGTTAATTTGCTCCTCTGACATCTGATTATGCACAATGATGGTACTTCACATGCCAACAGTAGATACAAACACAGTTAGAGGAGCAAATCTAAAGTAAGCTTTGTTCAGATAATCCAAGTGAGCATGTGAATGCAGTGAGCATATTTCCAACTTATCTTTTATGTCTTTTATGTCAGTGGTTCTTAACCCAAGGGTCACAACCAAAAATTTGGGATAATTTGATTAAAAGGACTTTAATCAAATTATCAAGCTGACTAAAAAATCATCAATAAAACAAAACATCCAGAATGCATGCTATTGATATCATATGCAGAGGAATTTGCAATTTTTTATATTCAACCCATGCATCTTACAATTCTGCAAAAGGAATTGAAAATACACTATAAAAAATGAATTGGAATGAGGTCTCAAACTAAATTCCATGAGAATAGATCACAGTCAGGTTATCAAGCATCATTGCAAGAGCACACTGAAGAAATACTCCACCTCCAAAGCTGCATCCTCTGGAAGATCTGTACAATGCACACCCTTTTCCACCTTAGTGAGTCCATACTTAGCCCTCAATGTGTGAGGCCGTATTTTTTTGCCCACCTCAGGGTCACGTGGTCCAGCAAGATCTCTCAACTGGCTTACCAAATCAGTTATTCCACTGGAGCCAGTAACCCCCACTTCAAGAGCAATCAGTGGTCCAGAGCACATATGACTCACCATCTGATAATATTCAGGAACCACACCTTTGTACACTTCCAGAAATTCTTCAACTTCTCGTTTTGATAGTGTCCGCATTTCCAGAGCAGTGACATTAAAACCCATCTCTTGAATGTCCATGATGATGGCTCCTGCATTTCCTGAACAAAGGAATCTCAGTCACTACTCAACATATAAAATGATTTCAAGGTTCTAGATTTCTATTAAGGGGATCCTTACCACCATGCACTGCATGAGGTAATATAACACAGCAAGTGGTGTTTTGTAGAACAGCAGATGTTCTCATTTGCCAAGGGAGGGATGAGAGCTTTTCAGGGAAGAGTAGGGACAACTCCTGTAGAAACAGTAACCTTGTATTAGCTTCAATTTATCAAGCAAAGAAATTCCTATAAAATCAGATTATAATGTAGCTTCCATATGAAGCAATCTACCCTATATTAGACAAAAAGTCATAGCATCAGTCACCAAGTAAATTTTAACACAAGAAGGCATGGTTGACAGATCAATTTTGAACATTCTGATAATTGCCTCCTTTGACTTTTGAAGGAAAAAAGGTTCGAAATTTAGGGGTAGTGCCTAAATGGGCAGGAAATGAGGTTTCTTCAAAACTCCATATCATTCAAAAGTTATGAACACATCCAATTGGTACTGGTGTCTTTTTAAAGATAAGGATGAGTAAATTCAGAAATGAGATATATGCTACAATTCAAAGCATAATTGTTTATAAAAAGTTGGCTCAAAGTATGCAAATTCCATGACAATGTCAAAGATTTCTGACTCCTGGGGTCTTCAAGTCTGCTTCATTGAAGGATGTTCATGGTGAAGAAATGAGACTGGTTTTCAAGAATAGGTGCCACGATAGTAACAAATTCTTATCACATTCACTGCTGGACTTTTAAAGTGAGATTGTCGCTAGATTGCCAGTGTTTTCCCACAACTGCGAAAATGCGTGCAATGTTTTAGAAAAGGAATTACAATAACAAATTCATTAGAGGTAAAAATAATTTGGATGCAATAATATTCCATACAGTACATAAAATAAATCAGGTTTTACTTTTTTTGTGCTGCATGCGCACTAAGGAGTGCATATTAGGCTTTCTTTTTCCTTCTCTGTGGGTGGGATGTACCTGCACCTTCAACATCCTCACCCTGATCAGATAAGGAATCTACCAAATTTTGCCACAAAATCAATATCACTATCTGTAGCACTTAGAGTGTATCCCTCATGCATTTTGAGCACATGGCTGCAACTTATGGGTCCTCTGCAGGGACTGGTAAACAAGGGGTGGGATTGTGGGTAACTGGAAAGGTGAAAAAAATGCTAAGCACTGTTATTAATGTCAAATAGTTTCTGAGAAGAACCCTGAATGCCAGCAACATCACCTTTCGGACCATCTCTGAGCACTTGGTGGGGTTATATACCCATACCTTTCAAATTGACCTTAGTTGACAATGGCATTCTTAGCAGTGAATGTGTTAAAATCATGGATGAATGAAACCTTCTGATATGTAAGGAAAGCTACCTCAGGTAGAATTGCAGGAGAATTTAATAACTTAACCTAGACACTGACATGAGCCTTGAACGAGCAATGTTATAATGTGTAATGGGTGCTAAAAAATGCACCTTCATGCTGGCTTGTCACTGATGGGTAGACTTATGGGTTATACTTCTGTGACAGGCTGAGACCCTCTCCTGAATGATCAAGAGTATTGGGATTCCTCACACTTTCTTACATTTTTGAAAACGAAAGACACGCTAGACAACTTTAAAAGAAACCTATCTCAGTCTTAAAATTTTATTGCATTTACACACAACTTCTTGCATAAGCTTTTATCTGATGAGAGTATCTAATGAAAGCACACCTATGCCAAATGTGATACCTCTGTATTCATTATCAAAACTTACAGGTTATCAGGCCTCTCAATTCTATTTTATAATGCTGATTTACATTGATCACAAGCAACTACATGAATATTGACAGCTTTGATATAATATGAATAACACTAAAGGTAACACCATCTTTGAGAAACTGGAGAGAAAATGCCAATGAGGAGAACCATGGAACCAAAGTATGCATCACAAGTGGAACACCTTGCAAGGTGATAATGGGGTTACCTTTTACAGGGTAAGGTGTACCACATGACCTGTCAAATTTTTTTATCAACTGTGGACATTTCTCAATGAGAAAAATGGTACAAAAAGTGATAAGCTCAAACTTCATTCCTACATGCTACAAGCACGAAATAGGAAAATCGGGTATTCCTATTATTTTACTGATACTTCTCAATTTTTTACTGTTTCATCGGGGTACTTTGTGATCCCACTCACATATAGAAGTTCCTAAATGCAGAAGCCTCAGCATACTTACTCTCTTGGCTGAATGCATGGAATCAGATCCATGAGCAGCATTCCTGGTTTTATCCTTCCCATATTTTGCTCGTATGGAATTTGGGGCTTCAATTTTTGCCTTCTCAGGGTCAGTTGGTCCTAATATCTCTCTCCATTTGTGCACAGCTGCTTCTCCAGTCAATTCCAAGGCTAAAACTCTCCCTTCAGTCACATATGCAATCAGATCCCTGTCACAGAAATATATAACAAATCTGATGGTGAAGTAATTTTTTTAATAAGCAAAATACACTGCTGCCAACATTCTTACTTGTAGAAGTCTTGCTGGGCATGCTCAATGTAAAACTCTTTTGCCGCAGGGACAGTCAGTTGTATCATCCTGGCCTTGGATATCCTCAGGCCCCTTGCAGAGATGTCATTCATGATTGCCCCACATTGATCAATTGCATCTGGTTTTATCATGGCAAAAGTCCTAGAATATCATGCAAAGTAATACAGTGTTCATATTAAAAATGTTCAACCCTTATGCCACTCTATTTTAAGAATCAAATCCTTCATACCGTTCATTGAGCAAGCTGAGTCGGACTCTTGTGAAATCATCAGCATAGTCAGTTATCTCCAACTGGCGAGAGAAGATGGTGACTTTCTCACTCAACTGAAAATCTTGCAGGTTGCAATCCAAGCATTTGGTGCGCCTCAGAAATATCTTGTGTTTTCTAGTATCATACTATAAGGAAGGAGAAAGAGACTCATTATTTGTCATAATACACTATCTGCCATTGAAATTTCAACCAAAAAGTTAATAAATGCTGATTAAATCTGGTACTCTACCAGGTTCCAATGGCATAGGATGATTCCTTCCAGAGAAAGCTTATCATGCTTTCTAATGTAAAGGGGTGGAGGGATCCTACTAATCATCCTAAAGAAACAACCCAGGTGTTCATTCATGTTTCAAGATCATTGGATGAAGCCATACTTGCTCAACACTTGTGGAATGGGCAAAGAGGGTGGCTTCACAGATAGTTCTAATATCCTGTTCTTGCCTCCAAGCACAATGATATTGGGCAATTGTTGAATGTTTAACTGCAAAATCATTCTAGGATGATATCTCCAAGGACAATATTGCCATTTTCTTTGAGTGCTTGATCAATATTACTTAATTTGAATGCTTAGCTTTCATCCAATTACCAAGAATCAAGCAAACAATTGAATGAATTGAGAAAATTACATTTAGAGATGTTTTGACATGGCTTCAGAGTCACAGGACCAGGCTCAACATGTCTCGTTCTATGTGAGTTCATTCTCATTTTGCACATTTTGCTTAAAGGACCACCCATTATGATGGCATTGAGGAGATGCAAGCAGCCACAACAGCAGCACTGAAGGTGGTGGGAGAAAATGGCCAGCAATAATTATTTCACACAAGAGTATGACAGCTGGAATAAATGACTGCCTGCCAAAGAGTACTACTTTGAAGGAGATCAGGTACTGATGTGATTTCCCTCAGAAATTTGAAAAAAAAATTCAGTCTGGAAACTCTTTGAGAGGTATTCTTATGCAGTGGTGCATTTTATAGGAAAGAAGACAGCCAAACCCCTCCCACCAGCAGCCTTTGGACAATGCTTACATCTTTGAGGAGTATGACCATACATATGTTTTAAAATAAAAAAAATGTTTAACTTTCAAGTTTTGTGCAAATTACTCTTTTTGAGCTGCCTCTCACATGCTACAATAGACTCTACCACATTACAATAATTAAAAAAACTTCCAAAATATCAATAGTTGAGGCACCTCAGTGCACATTTTTTTCTAAACATCCCTGGAGCATGAAGAAAACTCACTCCTCAAAGGGTTAATGCTTGCTAGCTGTTTGCTCTGGGATTGACTTTGAGAGGACTTCCAGAGATTTTTGCTATGTTTCCATCCTCCATAATCTGGTGTGTTACAAAGATAGCCAGACTCTCTTATCAGGGGTGAGGTTCTCACAAAAAACTGCCATCAGCCACCACCATCATTTTTACAAACATGCCTTTTCCACACTGGGGAAAGCGTGAGGAAAAAAAAAAGTTAAACATGGTTTAAGGTCTGCTCCTGACAACTGAGTGTCAGTCCCTTTGTACTCCCCAGTGAAGGAGTGAAGGGAGGAGAGAAATATGTTGCAATCCAAAGCATGGGCAAATGGTTTATATGTAAAGGATAGTGTAGATCAGTGATGAACAACTTTTCTTGACTGCGGGCCGCAAGTGAACCTTTTAGGTTCAAGCGGGCTGCATGTATTTATTAATTTGTTATTTTTAAATACTGAATTACAGGTTGAACACCAAAATAATCCTATGTTTGACTTAGTAAATCATGTACTAAATTAGTAAATGCCAACTTTATGCTACGTGTGAAAAATTTATCACCACTTATTGAGCAAAATACCAAGCAAGCTCAAAGAGCAATAATACACTGACCAAGAAGAGAGAGGGGATATTTGCAGCTGTGGCAGAAATATAGTTATGTTTTACTTCTTGTTTCCGTTTCTCCTGCAGTGGGCAATGGAATCCCCGAGCACACATGAGCTCTACTCCGGATGAGAGATGACAGGGTGGGAAAAAAAAATTAAGCTGCCAAAGCCCTGCGGGCCGCACACCAGGGCCTCGCGGGCCACATGCGGCCCACGGGTTGCTCACCACTGGTGTAGATCAAGGGTGTCAAACTGGCAGCCTGTGGGCTGGATCCAGCCTGCCAGTCCATTTTGTCTGGCCCGCAAAGTCCTTTTCAACAGTCAGCTATGGAAAAGTACTGCAAATTTCAGCCTGTCTGCATAAAAGATTAGGTGTTAGGCTTTTATTGTGGCCCCTAATCACCCCTGAAGGCTTCCATCTGGCCCCCAGCCTTATCGAGTTTGACACACCTGGTGCAGATCATTAAATTTTGTTGCTGTATTAAAAGGCCAAACAGTTAATTTTCTGTTGTAACTTCTGCAACGTATAGATCAGAAACAGGTATGATGCTGGATTCCCCACTCCCATTACAAAATTGGCTAATGCAGGACAGCCAACAAAAAAGCACGTAACAAAAATGTAGGGCTGTACCAATGTATTGGCTACCACCAATAATGACCACCAGTGCTGCACTATTGATGCCATCAGCTGGTTTGCAAGTTGCCTATGTCAATGTCTAAAGGAGAGGCTAAACTTACAGGTAAAACTTATTTTAAAAAATTAGAGTGGACGTGTGAACCCAAAAAATATTGATTGGCCCTATTCTAAGAACTGGCAGAGAAAAATAATGGTAAAGGGAAATCATAGTCCCTCCTTTTATGTTATGTATTTGCAAGATGAGTGTTGTTAAACACTCTTAACAGCAGCAATAGGTAACAAACTAACCACTGATGGACACAGACAGGCAGTACTAAATATCATTTTTAGGGAGAGGTCTGACATGGTTTCCAAATAAGCCTATATGAATTAGTATTCATTTTCATGTTACTTCTCAATTTCCAGACAACAATCAGCACCGGACTGGCAATGGTGGAAGGTTATAAGATTAAAATTGGCCATCAGCCCACCAGTCAAAAGTGGCTATAGGTACAACCCTACAAAAAATGTTTGAAGCATGTAGCAAAAATGCTTTCAGCATTTTTCTGCAGCAAAAAAATTCAGCCTAAAGAGCTCTGTCTAACATGACATACAAAGTAGATATCTGATACATTAAAACTCACCATTTCAACAGATCCATCTCGTGTAAAGTATGTGAGCACAAATTCATGAGTAAGAGATGAAACTGGATCATTCCACTTCACCTGGAATGCATACTTCTCTGCATCTGTATTCTCCATAAGCTCTCGCATAGTTTCTAGGATCTGGAATGCAATTGGCGAAATTTTAGTAAAATTTCAAAGCCTTCATCACTTTCCAGTTCTCCAATGCAATAATGAAAATAATTTCTTGGCATAACAGCAACTAATTGTTTAATGAAAATCAAGAACGAATCAAGAGGAAATTAATACCCTTATGGTGATGTAAGCTTAGACAAATAAGACATGCTGAAATTCAACCAAGCATCACCAGTTCTTGTATATAAGTAATTATACCTCAAGTACTCACACACCTCATGGGGAATGAAACAAATGAGGACCAGAGGTAAGACAAAAGATATCAAAATCCAGGGTCGATTCCAGGACGTCTCTACCACATATTGGACTCTGTCTGAAAAGTTTCTGAACATGCCAAGAACAGCATATAGTCCAGAAGATATTGTGCTCTAGAAACTAAACAGGGAATAAAATAAGGATACAAAATGACTTTAGATTAACTTAATACATTCTCAGTCACTCTGTACTTTTTAAAATTCAGTTCATACTCTTGAAATGCAAGTTCCATTCTTAAGTCAGTCCAAAAAATATACAAATACATCCTATCAATTCTTATGCATCAAGTGTAGAAAACCTAATTTAAAAATATAGCATGCAATGAATAGGATAGATATGTACATATTCCGAATTCATGAAAGAAAAGAACCCATTATACAAGAAATAGTTCCTTCAAATGAGCTCTGTTCAATTTGTATTGCTGACATTCTCAACACTTTTCTTGCAAGTGTCATGTCACTCTCATGGGTTCCAAAGCATACTCATATTTTTCTCTCATTGTCAATATATCCATTCAATATGGATGGACTATAGCACCAAAGGATCCCAGGCAGACAAGATTAAGTCATGTACTAGGTTCATTTGGAAAGTAAGTTTCCATAAGTTTTTGCATAATACATTTATTTATATATCAAAACAAATTCTACACAAACATTTCCCAAAATATGGTCATTCCACATATGCATATTTCTGTTGCCAACTTCAGGAAAAATTCTGTTGTTCTGAAAATCTTTCGCTCACAAGAACTTAGCTCAATCTTAATATGGCTCACATGGCCAAAAGGGTTCCTGACCCCTGCTGTAGTGACTCCTTCATCTTGGGGAAGAGGTGGAAGTCACATGGGGCCAGTTCTGGAGAGTAGGGTGGATGGGTGGCTGAGCAGGTCCCAGTTTCCAATGGTCAATAAGCTCCACCACCTCTCATTTGTTATGTGTAGGGGTATTGTTGTGATGGAAGATCATGCACTCCTCCAGCAGTTCTGGGTGCTTTAAGCAGATGCCAGGGTACAGTTTTTCTTGCAGGTCACACTTGTAGTAGGTCTCAGTCTCTGTGGTACGCCAGCACAGAAAGAGGCCCTTGATGTCAAAGAAGATGATGTGCATCACCTTCATGGCACCATGCTTGTGCTTGGCCTTCTGAGAATATGATAAGTTGCTGCTGAGCCACTCCACCGATTGCCACTTGAGCTCTGGGTCCCAGCTGAAGACCCAGGTCTCATCACCAGTGATATTTTGCTGTGGGAAGTCTTGCTCTTCACAGAAGTACAGGAGATGACACTTTGACAATGAGGAGGCCATCATGGCAGCCAAAAAAAAAAACCCTCTCTGAGCCTGGAGACTGCAGGTGTCAATGGTGTGTTTGAGAGCCTAGTGCACTGCTGGTAGAAGTGTGCTGAGCTCAGCAGTGCATATGTAGAATGACCATATCTTGAGACATGTTTGTGCAGTATTTCGTTTTAATATATAGATAAATATAAAGTACAAAGATGAGGGAAACTTACTTTTCAAATGGACCTTGTATATGACAGCAATATGACTACTCCTATCTTTGTCTTCTTCCTGACACTGAGTGAATAAAAAATTGGAACTTGCGCTTGACATGTCATTCACACACCCTTGGTGAAGTACCTGCTTTAGGACATATGCCTGTCAGTATCTGGATAGGCTTTGCTGAACTTATGGATTACAAAGTGGACTGAGGCTTATTTGCTACTAGATGTTCGGAAAAGAGGGAGGATTGATGAGTAAGTCTCTGCACATAATGCAAAAAAAGAGACTTTGAAGCCCAACAGTAAATTCATAGTTATGTCTCTTACATTTTCAGCCCATATTCATAATTTCTTTGGATAGATTCAATGTGTTAATAATGGCATTAACTGAGAGGTAAATAGAAAATTTTAAAATGGACATGTTCCAAATCAGAGTTACAGCTTTGTCTAGATTATTGTGCTCACTTCAGAAATGTTCTTTACTTAAGTTAAAAAGCCAAAATAGGAATTATCAAAACTCTGATAAGACTTTATACTTTAACAACTTACATAAGCCATCATGAAACCACGAAACAAACATTGTAAGCCAAAGACATTACAGAGTTCATCCAAGTTTGAAGTTTTTCTTTTATTTCACCTACTGCTATTATTTACTTATAAACAGGTTTGTTTCCTTGTTAATGATTTGCATGCAATAATTGAAAGATTCTGAAATGCAAGATTTTCCATTTGATGAGGTTAGCACTTGACTTTCAGTTAGCCAAATTTATTTTATAAGCTTCTGAGAAGCATTGGATCACATGAAATGATATGGTCAAACTTTAATAACTGTCCACCATGAATGCGTGTAGCAAAAAAGAGCAGACTAATCACAGATCCTATTAGGCCCACCACTAAGCTATCTTGAAATATTTTCTGACACTCCAGATATTTAATATCCAAATTTTATCAGCAATGTAGGAGGATCAAATGGGAAATCAGCAGCAGTTCTGTGAGACTCCATATAATGATATTGGCAACACTGTTGCGGAGATGTGCAGGATCCACAAACATTTGCTGCTTGTTTACAACTAGCATTACAGGATTGAGATGCAGGTGTCATGCATTCAGTTAACAGATGGCATGCACTAAGTAGAACCTTAACAAAAAATTTAAGTTCTAAGAAGCAGATACAGGCAGAAACTCAAGAGTTGGCTTCTCATTGTGAGCTAGGGCTATAGATAATACATAATTGACATGCTCTTCATCAGCAATCTGTGCTCCACAATCCACATTCTATAATCTCGCACAGTCCTACTCACAGTAGGCTTAAGCTACCAACCTCAGGCTACAAGTGGCGTTCCCAATGGGGTTTGTATTCCTCGGCATTTCGTGAATAATCTTAATCTTATAATAAAACCAATGGATACTGAGTTTCATTGAGTTCTCTTGCGCACAAACCTACACCCAGGCCTATAACCGGTTATGTGCAGACCGAAGTTGCCTGTAAACACAATCTTGCGTTACACTCCAAGGCCTAGGCTACTCCCATTAGTAAAACCGCTTTCTAAAGGCCATTCATTTCATTCCCTGACAAGTTCTTCATAGAGTTAAGTGAAAATTTAAGACTATGCTCGACGAAGCTCTCATTGCTCACTTCGTGATTTACGAAAGATCTTCAATAGAGAAACAGTTCCCCCTGATGATCCCAGTCACAGTAAGAGCTTGACAAATTTCCCAAATAGAACAGTGCTTCCCGAGGTGCCTCCCTGGTGACCGCCATGTTTTTGACTGTTTCTTTCAAGGTTGCCAAATCCCAAAGGTTTCAGGTTTGGGTTGGAACATAAATAGATATTTCCCTCAATATTGACTGAGTCAAGATCGGATGCACACTTAAGATTGGCTCTTTAAAGATCCATCCTGAATATGCAATAAGAGGGGAGGACAATTCACGACACAGCGCAGATTTTAATGGTCAGCCCGGCATCAGTTTCCAACGTTCAGAAGAGGGAACAAGCGAAGGTGATGGAGAAGAGGGGACAGAAGAGGATCCGGTTTTCGGCTATGGATTCCTTGGTTCCTTGCTTATTTTGAGAGAAAAATCCCTGATTCAACATATGTATTATGTTACATGACCTTTTCATGTCGAATTTCGACAGAACTCTGTTACGGTGAATATTCCAAGCAAACGATCTCTATGTAAAGGGGGAAGGAGAGGTGTACCAGTGAGTAGATTAGTGGAGTGAAAGAATCACAGGCTCAAACACGGTAATGATACCATATACTTTTAGTGATTTTAGTGATAGTGAATTTGTCATCTCCAGCAGGATTTACTATCAAGCACCTTACACCACCTGGATCATGTTTCGGGAGGGGGGAAACATTTTAACTTTATTTCATGGATTGGACACGACTTGAGAAGCAACTACGTGAATTTTGGAAACGTTATGCTATTTAATATTTTATTTAAGTTGGGCATTATTACAAATACAGGTTTATCATAAAATCACCACCCAATTTTGATTGGCTATAACTTCTCAAGGGACCGTCAGATTCAGCTGACATATGGCAGAGAGGTTTATGAGTCAAGGAGGATTTTTTTCATGCTACAAGATGGTGCTGCATGTCAATAGAGGGCGCTGATGTCGACCCCAGTGCCACCTATTTACTTGGTATGTCATTTTTTAAGGATGAGGAAAAAACATTTAGGCTCGTGAATCTTTCTTTCAATCAAATATCAGCTGCTTCCGAGAGTCCTTTCAAAAGATGTGGTCAGGCAAAATTGGATGGTGACTTGTAACAATCAAATTTTTTTGGTCATGAATTTTTAAGGAAAAGTCAGATGCAGCTGATGTTCGACAAAGATGTTCATGGGTCTATGACTAATTCGTTCCCTTGCATGGCACATGATTGGTCCCCATTAACCTTGCGCTCTTGAACGTCGCATAAAATAGAAGAGAGCGGTACCTCCTACCATCTCGAACTCGCATAAGATACCACCCTGATTCCGTTTCCTGTTGATATGAGCTTTGTTTCAAAAAGGCTTGGCCCAGTGGAGTCATCGGAAAGTTATAACAGTACTTGAATTAAATCTGGATAAATGAGCACTCAGGGAGATTCAGCCGAAATTTCTATCGATATTTCCAATAAACTTGCCCCGAAGAGGAAGAATTATCTTAGTCCAATATTGCCACTCTGCTTTTGCATCTGAAACATCACTGCATGACGTCATAAGTCAAGGTCTGAGTCCATGGCGCTTCCCTTTATGCAGCCACATGGCTTTTATTCATTTTTCCTTTGGTTGGTGATACAAGAAAAGCTACTCACTTTTAACCGCTTTGCTTGCTGGAATAGAACCATTCGCTGTTGCAAGTTGTGGGCTTATATACATATATTGCTTTTCACTTGACTCAGACAATTTTTTCAATCGACTCAGACTCTGGTGCATGGGAGGTTCATCATACATGAGTGTCGAAGTCAAGTGAAAAAATGTTTGACTCGCGTGAAAAACCCTATATCAAGGAAAGCTCGACGTTTTCGTTGACGGGCTAGTGGAGCCTGAAGAATTTGAAGGGGGATGTGCCTGGAGTAGGAGAAGTAGGGCAGAACCTTATCCTTAATTGTCTTGGTTTTAGTTTTATTCAGAGCTCTGTAACTACGCGCATCATATCCGTACTGTATCACCTGCCCCTTCTTCAACAATGAGAGTTTTATTCAAATCGCATTACTACTTGCATGTCAATGCTGAAAGTTGTGAGTTCAGTCTCTGCCCCAATGGTGCAACCAGTGGGTGGGATGGTTCTGGGAATTTGAACCCCCTCCAAGCCTGAAAGTTACTGCTAAGAGAGGATATAATGGGGTGTGAACCCTTGAAGACCCAATAATCTCTTCAGGTTATGATGCAGGCAAACTTCCCCTAAAACTCTAATTGAGTTGCACTACTGATACCTTCATCCTTTTTTGTGGGCTCTCCTTCATTTTGAATTTGTGCAGATTGGAAGCACAATGGTTTATGTGCAACATAAAAATCCATACCTCTTCCTCCTCAAATTAGATAACCATGGGCAGCTTGCCATGAACATAAGAAGGGCTTGGGCCACTCTGGAGATAACTGGATTTGGGACAGTCCTGATTACAGCCAATCATAAAAAAATTAATGCTGGCATCCTGCAGTTACCCACTGCAGGAGTGAGACTGTATTGGGAGGGTGGGGGGAGTTATGGTTACTTCTGCTGGCTCCCATGGGTGGTGCTAACATGTACCTTAGATTATAGCCCAAGGGATTGTCTTTTTCCCCCATTATTTTCTCTTGCTTTATTCTTGGGCTTGACACTAGAGCAGAGAAGATTTTGCACTTTATTATTATACCAGAGCTGCACCTATGAACTGCCCTGTTGCAGGGAACAAAATGATTGAAAGTGAGTTTTTTTGTATCGTCTAGTACAGGAGTTGGCACCCTATGGCTTGCAGGTCAGATCCAGCCTGCAAAGAGATTTCATCTGGCCTACCAAGCATGCCAAGGAAATAGGATATTTATTTTATATTTCATTTATTATTTTCAAAACTTCATTTTCCCTATTCTGGCAGATCAGCACCATAATCAATTATACACTCCAGCCCACCTTTGTGCAGAGTCATGTTAATTCTGCCTGTAATTAGCAAAAGGTTGCTGACCCATGATCTAGCATATTGATGTCAAGTTGTGCTGGTACCTTGATTGATTATGAGACATTTAAAAATGAAACTGGCCTCATGCCAAATGCCAGAGCTCCATCTTGTGCTGGTCTTTATTGTGTGTCTGGTATACTTTGTGGTGTTCAGTGGCAACTTTAGCCCAGGCCTAGGAATTGAAGTAGAGATATTGCTTGAATGCAGTAAAATTTGGCAAAGGTCTACCAACAACCTCACAGACTAATTTCTAATTTCCCAGACTTTGAATGCTAACAAATTTATGTTGTGTTAGTATAATCTATTTGGGGTAGTGAGGAATGTTTCCAGCTTTTGGTCAGATGGGTTTTGGAAGTAGTAAGGTTGTTGAACTTTACCTGATGTTTGAAAATTTCTTCTTGTTTTTGAATTAGGAGTAATGAGTGATGGCCTTACATTTCATAATGCTTGAGCAGCCATTCATATCACTGGGGAAGTGGGGCCCTCTGGAGTTGTATAAAAGAAATTGCATGAATGATGTACTATGACAGCCAGATAGTTGCTTTCTGACCATGCAGAATATTTTGATGTACTCTGTTACCAAAAACTAAGCCTTTGGAATGTGTATAGAGAGCTGATGCCTGCAAAGAGAATGAAACAATTTTGATGTCCTACTTACCATGGCTTATCCTGTATACAGTATGCATATAGGCATGCAATGTCATAATAAACACTAGTGGCCCAAATTGTGGAAACACCTGAGAAAAGGCAAATTATCTTCATAAGAAAGATAGTTATTATTATTTTGATCTCATTGCATTAATCATTTTGATTGCACACACTGACAGTGAATTGGTAGTACTTCATAAATGACATATTTTCATGGTAATAAAAAACCACATGAAATGGGCCTACAATGCAGAGTATATAAAAACAAACATTACTGTGGTATGAGAAAAGAAAGCTCCATAAATTGTTATATCAACGATTCACATGCAATCACATTTTTATAGTAGCAGACACTATTCAATACAATAACTTATTCAGTTAGTTAAACTTTGCTCAATTTAAATTATGCCTCAATGAATGATCCACTTTGGCATTTAAATCATTACCTGTTAACCACAAATAATACATTTCTTTTAAAATATTTATCTGTCGAAAAAGTCTCTGAATATCTTGAACAGATTGAATTACATGACCAAACTACACATTATAAACATTCTCCAGCTGATAAAAAATAGAAGTCTTGTTCTCACTGCAATAACTCTAACCAGGAGTACCATGTTTTGGATACATGGAATACTGAAATATTTTGTCAAGCATATCCACAATTTCACCCTCTAGTATAATGGTTTAAATGCATGCTTGTTGGCTAAGCATATGTTATTTTATTGTATTGTGTCTGCTACTATTAAAAATGCAAAATTATATGAGAATCTTTGATATTACCATATATATTGCCTACTTTTGTCATACAACACTAATAATTGGTTTTTTATATACTCTGCATTGTAGGCCCATTTAATGTATTTTGATTACCCTGAAAATATGTCATTCATGAAGTACTACTATTTCATTGTCAGTGTGTGCAATCAAAATGATTTTGCAACGAGATCAAATATTAATAACAATATTTTTCCTATGTAGATAATTTGCCTTTTCTCAAGTGTTTCCACAATTTTGGCCACTAGTATATATGGTGTGGTATATACAGAGTAGCCCAAAAAAATGTACCTGTATTTGAATAGCTGTGTAGCAGAAGATATTTGAATCACCTGTTAGCATTACTTATTTATTAATACCTAATGCAATCTTTTATATCGTCATACACTTTTGGTTCACTGGAGATGCTCAAATTGGCAATTGACATTTAAACATTTGAAAGACAATAAAGACAAAATTGCAATGACTGGAAGAGTGGGTAAATTTTTTGGGCCACCCTGTATATGGTCTTATTTGTGGTAAAGTGTGTGCACGACATGATTCCATGTTCTGTTGAGCAGACATTGAGATATAAATCCTAACAAGATTGGCTCAATGGACATGTAGCATAAGTTTTTATCAGAAGCATGTAGACAATATAAATGGTGGGTTACTATTGACAGCCCAGGAGAGAAATTTGGAATGGAGAAGTTTCAGAACTTGATTATATTCAAGAGGAAAATAATGTTTGAATAAATAAAATAGTTGATTTAGAGTGGTTGCAGTTGTTCTTGATCTAAGTCTGGAACAATATGGGTGAACATTGAGATGCAGGATGCAGGACCAGCACTTTCATCACAGCCAAAATGGTTGTGGGCAGTTTGTCGTGGACAAAATGTCACATGCACTTTTGGTCGTAGCACTGTTTTGTCATAGACACTGATTGTCACGCTCTTCATGTCGTGAGGGCATTGCTAAGACTGGGACTAGATGCAGAATTTCAC